GTTGGGGTGGGCGTGGGCGTTGGCCACTCCAGACGCCCCACCTCCCTGACTCTCGGGCATTGCCTCTAGGACGGGCAAGGGAATCGGCTTCAATAGCAGCGCTGACAAGAAGAACTCCGCATTTGACTTCAGCAGGTCATTCGACACGTCAAACTCGACTGTTCCTTGTGGCGTGGTTGGTGCAACCTGGAACACAGTATTGAGGACACCACCGTTTTCCACCTGAATCGCCCACACCATGATTGCTGCCACCACCGACATGAGCGTCACTTCAAGCGCCATTTTGTTGTCTCGGAAGAAGAAAAGAAGTAATATGTGCATTTATTCGCTATGGAAGCATTTAACATTCATTAAAAAGCCATGAAAAAAAATGCAATTGGCCCAAATCAGCAAATTTGTACATTTGTGTCGCTCGTTACAAAGAATTAACATGGAAATTGCTGACACGTAGGTCTAACCAATAAATAGTTGCAAGTACAAAAAAATATGTATCTACCAGAACTTGCGAAACTCCATGGAAATGCTATGCAACTGCCTGCAATTTATAGTTTAAGCTTGCTATATCTACTGTTGCATTCATTAATTTAATAAACTTAATTGGTGGAAGTGCTTTGCTCTAAAGTTCATAAAACCGATTGACCAATGACCAGCTGGGTGGCAGAATTTACTGCCACTGACGTCACCATTCCACACTAGACCGTTTACTGAAAGGCACTTTAAACCACTCTTCATATCTTATCCCTGGCTTTCACATCGCCAACAGATGAAAATTGATAAGGTGGGATACTGGAGAACGCGTTGCCACCGACACATTACCTTGACAACACCGAGTGATAACCCGAAGTATGAAACAAATCTGGAGACTGCACACGTTTATTACCTAATTGCCACTTCAGTTTGTACATGGAGACGCAAATGAATAGCTGGTGTAAGAAGTTCAGGGTGGATTGTTAGCGGAAGGAGTTAGAGGGGAAGTTTGTGGTGAGGAGCACGCGAACGCAGTTAGCAACCGGGAGCGAACATGATTCAATTGATTTACGTGAATGAACGTCACCTAACTACGTTCGTTCAGAGATCGTTGTGTAGCAAGGCACCGGGGCCCACTACAAGTTACTGTGGAATAATGCACACAATGAGTATAAATGCACGACGAAATACCACTTCCCAACCATCCATTTGTCCATTGTAGTTTCAATCAGTAATCAAACTCAGGAACGACGCATGCGTCGGTCTGCTTTGCTCAGGGCAGCTAATTTGGCAAGGTTCTTTAAAAAAGTCTGTTCTACCCATCCGAAGAGTTAAAGCAGGCGTTCGTGGGAGAACGCTGGAAGCCAAGCAAGAGCGATTACCAGGTAAATTTAATGTGCAGCACACAAGCTAGCACACATTTCGAAAAAAAAGTTGATAGGCACCACAAACTTGTGCTGGTGATGCAATTCAAATTCAGTAAACCGTTGTTTCTCTTTTTTTCGTCAAAAGATTTGAATTTTCACGAAAAGAAACACTTTCTACGTGACCAGAAATGTTGGCCACACCGCATCTTCGTGTCATCCTCAACACAGGATCAGAAAGTGCGAACCAAACCGTTTGATTGGTTGCGAGGAGCCTTTCTTCCTTGGCATCATCAGTGGCCTTGGGACACACCCCTTCAACAAACTCGTCTTTACGCTCACTCGGATGCTTCCACCTCGTCAGGCGACGCAGAAGATAACATTAAGAGCCTGCGCAACAATGACATTTCCTGCTGCTTGAAACCTGGTATCTCATGGGGTGATGGTGATGGCGTCATTCGAGATGCAAACAATCAACCTACGCGGGTGGTTTTTCTCATGCAAATAAGAAAGGCGCTCTGTCTGTTGAAAATCGCTAAGCGATATTTCGAAGCTAGTTAGCACAGGCTGTCACTCAACGGCATCATGCATCGCACAAGTGCAGTATATCCGTTGCCGTGGTAGTTGACAGGCGATTTGCTTTGCGAAATGGGAGGGGATCATTGACCTTAATAATGGTCGCTTGAATTATTGGTCACCGGCCGAACAGCTTGGTTCATTACAATGCAATTGACATGGTTTAGCCAATTTTCTGCATATTCACATGGCTTAAACCATGTCGAAACTCCTTGATCTATTTCTAAAATTCAAATTTAAACAAGCAGCTGCCAAGTCAATCCATGTTATTTGTCAGCAAACAAGGAAAACACAACATGGGGTTGATGATCGTGGCCTGGTTTCACTTCTTCCTCATGTGAACTCTACGGTTGTTCGAAGATTTTGACTTCGTGGAGCATGTTGCGTTTGAGCATTACGCCAGCATCGAACTTTGGACTCGACGAATGATAGCCACGCTCTGGAATAGGTTAACTAACCATCTCACGGTAGGTGGAAGAATGGTCCTTGCCTGTGGAACACCGACACTTTGAAGATCAACGAAGGGTGGGGCAAATGCTTTGTAGCCTATAAACGGGCTTATTTTAGTAGTTTCAGGTAGCTACAAACGAACCTAAGGCCAATTAGGATCAGAAGTGTGAATAAAGTGAATCGATGGAATTCGTCTGATTTACGACAGCTTAAATTAACCTACTGTTACGTTTGCCCGTAACAAAGATAACGGTACCAGAGCCCTTGCTGACGCTAGCACTGACCTTCCCACGCTAATACAGGAACAAGACCAGAGCTCGTGAAGAGAGCTTTAGTCACGTTCTCCAAACATCCGCTTGAGATTTTGAACGGTTTCTCAAAAAGTGAAGTCTGGCAAGAACATGGAGAGGATCGTGTCCGTGTATCTCTTCAGTTCTGCTGGACTCGATTTGCGGGCAAGGAGTCTGACCTTCCATGCGTCGTCCTGAGACGTGAGATCGACTCGGAACAGGTTTTCGTAACGCCGATACCAGGACTCGAACGTTACGCGGTTCTCCGGATCATAGGAGAACGCCGAGATACTGTTGGTGATGCCGTCAATTGACGGCGTACTGGCAGGAGCGGCCTGAGACGACTGGCGATCTGCAGGCATTGACGCTAGCCGCTTGAGTAATTGCTCCATCCCTTTGTCACTCATCTCACCTGCGTCGCCAAATTTTGTTACGTTTGTTCGTAACAAGAGAGAAAACCACTCAAATAACGATGCCAAATCCCTTGTTGATGCTGGTGCCGACCTTCCCACGCTCATACAAGAACAAGACCAGAGCTCGTGTAGGCAGCTTTAATCACTTCAACCACATGCGGAGTGGGTTGTCAAAAGTGAAACAAATTCGAGTCAAGGTTGACCTTGATCTGATAAGAAGCGCAATAAAACACATGTTGGGGAATGAGTGTAAATAGTGCCAAAAACCAACGATGAGCAATCTTGGGGTATCGGTGATACCCAACACCTACCATAACACATTACACTCTTTGAAACACCTCCATTGGGAGCAACTGTCAAAGAAGGAGATTTTCAATTTAGTCCAAGTCTCTGAAGCAAGTCCACATACAATTTTTGGTGTTTTTCGTTTCCACCTAAGCATCCATTACAAGTCACGCATTCCACGCTGCCGATGGATGCTAATTTGCGAAAGCTTTACTCAACAGTGATGACTTGTGATCTCAATACAGCAGACGCGTTACCGATTTAAAGCAAGTAGCACTAAAATGCAAACATTTGCCTGCGTTTTCTAAATTCAATGTTCTTATATCAACTTTCCACTCAGATGTTTACAAACCCTAATTTTTAACTCCGTTCATTGGCTTAATGTGTCTGGAAAAATTAAGTTATCTGTGTAAGACAACTGTCTTACAACTAAGCGGTTATTTACCCCGTTTATGATTTTACGACGTCTAGGTTAATGGTTGACACGTTGAAGAGGGCGTTTATGCCGCATTTTGAGGTGGGCGTGTGTGTGTGTGCATGTCTTGGAAAAGCATTGGGGCCCGTGGGCTAAAGAGACAGCAGAGTTGCTTCAAGCAGTATTCTCCTTGTAGGCAATCTGTTGCGTATCCCCTGGACAGGATCCCTGAACCAACTGGTGGCGTTGAGTTTGATGCTGAAAGCAAGCAGGTCACAAAACTAGAGGGTGATGGTGACAACATGTAGCTGTTCTCGGGCTATTATTCAAAACTCGCATGCCTGATTGCACCATATTCAAATGAAGCATCTGCATTGTTTAAATGAATCAAGTTTCAAAAGTATGGATACTTGTGTTTGGGTTAGAGTAGCAACACGGGCTTATCTTTGTAGGCTACGCCCCGCCGACGCCAATGTTTTGATGGAATTCGTCGAAAGACCTTCAGTGGTACTTGCTTCCGTGTGATTGTGTCCACACCTTCCATTCCATGATTCGCAGCAAATCAAAGCCTTCCAGAATAGTGCAGTGCTCGACCACCTCGACTGCTTTCCCCTCATATTATCAAGGCGCGTTAGTAAGGCGCGCTGGTGTGTCGCTGGTCTTGTTCCCTGCTGCTGAACGGGTTCTGTGCATATTCCTCCCATGACTCTCAAAACACGCAGCTTGGTGGCTAACCTCATTTGTCATGCCTCTCCAACACATGGTTGCAGCTTATTTGAACACGCACACGACTACGAACACTTTATTTTCCCCCACTTTTTGCCGTCTCAGTTCTTCCTTGGGTACTTCGTGCTGTACAAGGCAGCAACACGGCTCTTCGCACACCCACGACATAATTTGCAATTTTAATTTCCTTCGTCTAATGAGAATAATCTGTCTGTCGGCTAACAACAGACGTGTTCAGTCAACCTAACACGCTGATCTTCGGTCAAACTCGCTAACATGTTTCGCGTATGACTTAATTGGAACAGATTTTTTCCTCGATATCGCGGTAATTTGTGGTGTAGGGATTCGTGCTGATTCATGTCCAATAACCCAGTCCTTGCAGCTTCCAGCACATGTCCCCCCTTTTCACGACCTGCCCGTCAGTTGCGTGAGGCCGCTGGTTCATTAACCACTCTGCATGTGCCGCCGCCACCACCACCACCACTACAGCAAGACTCAAGGCCTCAAAAAACCGAAAAAAAAACTTAAGTGAGTTCCATAGCCTCTCAGAATAACGGGATTCACGATGGCAAGTGGTGAACTCCACATTCGATGGCACTGCAGTTTACACGAATTGCAGCAAGGAAAAATGCTTCTAAAGAGCGACAATTAATTTATAATGTTTTTTTGTGTGGCGGCATTGTGTTCGATGAACTGCTTTCGATTCTAGTGATCAACAGCACCCCGTACAACAGCCTCAAAAGTCTGAAGATGCTGAATTGCAAGTCCCACTGGATGAAGACTTTGTTGAGGGCCCCGGCATGTAGTCTTGAACCACGCCGGGGCCACTGCAACGATCTAGGCCGGCTAAGGTACCCTTTTCCCACGAAAATAAAGAAGACCGGAGTGGAGAGGGCACAACCGTTTGCTAGACCGCTCAACCAAGTTGAGTCGTGTACAATTACGGTTGAGTGGACACGTACAAAAATAAACTCAGGTGTCTGTGAGGTCACATGACTAAAACGCGGGTGGTGGTGGGACATGCAGAGTGGTTAATGAACCAGCGGCCTCACGCGACCGACGGACAGGTCGTGAAAAGGAGGGGACAAGTGTGTGAGGCTGCGACGACCGCGGTGTTTAACATGAATCAACGCGATTCACTACCGCTTAAATAAAATGTAACAAGAGCTTGGAGGTCACCCAAGCAGGTATTTCCGAGCGCTTGCATCACAAATTTCAAAAAAATGCAACAAGTAGTAAATAAACTTCTTGTGAGAAATTGTGACGCATGATGAGAAGTATGTCTGTTGCGAGAATCCCAAACGTAAAATACCGTGGGTGGGTCCCGGGCAACCCCGTGCATCGACGCCGAAACAGGGTATCAACTTTGAGGAAGGTTCTACAGGGCATCTGGTTGGAAGGACATGGGGAGTGTACTTTGCTACAAACACCTAGAAACTGGTCAGACGGTGACTGCGGATAGCTTGACCAGAAAAAGCCATTTACTGGGCAAGGAAGCAGGCAAGTCATACTGCTCCCGCATGACAACGTTCAATCACACGTTGCTAGCACAACTCCGAAGATCCTCTTGAAGTTGGGCTGGAAGTCTCCCCTCGCGCGACATATTTACCAGACTTAGCCCCATCTGACAACCACGCCTTACAGAATAAACAGTTCGCCAGTGATGACTTGATTGCCTCGAGGCCTGTGAGGCTCTTTCGCAATGGCATTCATACGTTACCTGAGAGATGACGCGAGGTAGTGTAACACGACTGACGATATTTACAAGAATAGGTTTGCTGTTCTCTATTTGTTCGTTTTGAGACATTTGCAGAGGAATTGGCAAAAACGGAGTCATCCACTTAATCTAATTAGAGCAATGCAAGTCCCAGTCCAATTGTAACGCCTTCGCAATTAGATGCTACCACTTCATTCCTTACAGATTATGCACTAATGCACTTGCTGAATGACGCGATTCGTAAATTGGTTTCTCCGACAATCAGGAAAATTAACGGAGTTTCCCACATCCAGTAATTGACTAGGTTTTATTCCACTTTTAGTAATAGTGCACCAGTGAAGCAGTGTGTGGGGCATGTGTTGGGAATCAAATTATGGATTATAGCCTCGTTCTCAGGACCTTTTGCCTACCTTGTAGACGAGAGTCTGGCCCTCCTAACGATCATACGAGTCAGGTTACACCGATTCAGTTTCCTTAGTCGCGTCGTCGGCTCAGGATTGGCTCAGCAAATCGAGTGTCTTTATACCTTCGTAGCTGTTTACCAAAGAGTACTTGTAAGTTGCCTTTTTTAGGCAACACGGTGCTTGAGCGATCTAATGCTTTTGTGTGAGTGTGCGTGCGTGTGGCACGCATTTATTTGGTAGTGACATGTAACCAATGCAACGTTTATCGGAATTTGTGTGCATCGACTTTCGTGTGATTTGCAAATTGCCATCTCTTCGACACGATTTCACCGGTGTTGAGAAAGCTAGTTGGGTGCTACCCCCGACCGACCACTTTGTAATATTACGGACTCTTTGACGAACTGGATTCATTGATTAGAAGTCAGATCAAGGTCTGTTCAAAGATGCTACTGTGTGCCAACAGGCTCTACATCGGGGCAAGGTAATGAAGCACATTGGTAGGTGATGCTATCTGGTGAGATTTTTTAAATAATATCACCGATTTTCCACTAGTTGCTGAGAATAAAATGTCTCTTAACTGTTAGGAAAATGACACAGCATAAATAAATAGCGTTTCACATTGCACCGGTTTGGTAAAACTTTGAGTTGTCAATTAAAAAGAAACAAAATATTACGAAGTACTTTGTATGTCGTTCTAAATGCAGCAATCAGTTTAGGTAAACTTCATGGTCGATAATCGATAAATCTGGATGGCCTGCATGAAGGCGAGGTTGAAGAGGGAGAAGTAGAAGAAGCAGATGAAGAGGACGGTGAGTGCCAGGACGTAGACCACACCGACGAATCGATTGAGGGCGCCCTCGTCACCACAGGACACAGCCAGTGCCACATTGACTGCTCGGTAGGCCTCCTCACAGGGGAAGAGGTCACGGGTGAGCTGGGAGAATGTGACACCGCCATCCCTCGCCATGAAGGCAAGCAGCTCCGTGGTCACCTTGTCATACTCAGCTTCGACTTTGCCTACCAACTTGGACTCATCACTAGCAGCCTAAAGTGGGTGAATGGAGTTGTGGTGGGTTGTGTGGTCTACTTCATAAATTTATAAGCCTTGTTGATGCAACCACCTGATAATGTTACGCAACAGCCTCAAAAAGCACACGGACAAAATGGCCGCGTTATAAGCAACAATAAAGAAGTACAGATAATCTGAGCTCCACTTGCTCCTATTGGCTGTACTGAAACGCCTTCAAATCCTTACAAAGCAGTTTACGACTATCGTTGATCCATGTATTCATTGTAATTAGCACCTAACTGAAACCAATCAGTTCGAATTCGCCTTGCTGATCCCCTTCGGAATAGACCAATTCATAATATCTGTGCACGTGAGCCTGCTGCCTTAGAGTTGATCAACAACTTTGAATTCGGGAGTATTTTTAGTTAATTAATGGATTGATGGAGTAAAAAGTCAACCATTTAAGTGATGCTGACCTGTATTTCATCAGCAAAGCTAACTGCGTTGGAGGAACGCCAACTTACATTAATGGTTGTCTTAAAAGCCCCAACCAGCCTCTCAACTGGAGACAGAATATTCTTTTTTTCTTGTTCGACTTTCTGAAGATGACCGCGCGTGCTCTTCATCTCCGGCTGGAGGTTCTTCATTTGGACGCCTACTCCCTCAAGGGTGCTGATTCCCTTTGCAAAGTCACTTGTAGGATTCTTGTTGGAAAAATCCATCAGTTCGGTAATAAGCTTTTCAATGGGTGCAGGATCTAACATTTTCGAATCCGTCGAGTTTATGAGTGTCTTAAAGGAGGAACGCGTTGTCATTTTAGAAATGTTCTAGCTGAAGATGTTGAAAAGTCTGGTGGTGCAAGTGGATACGTTCGCTAAAACGGTGTGCTTGTAACCCCGCTTGACAGAAATCGAAATAATAATAGCGACGTTAATGAAAGTAAAACTTACCGTTAGATTAAAGTCCTTTACTGCATTGTTAAATGCTTTTTGAGCATTATCTAAATCTGTTACACTGGGCAGGTTTGAGAGAAGATTGTGGTTCTTTACCTCAGTTCGAATAATCCTGAAAGGAGGATGTAAAACGTCAGCTCAGGATGCACATGCGATGTCTCTCTCAAAATTGCTGCAAGAGCATGTCCATCCTGGTAACTTACAAGTTATACGTCCTCTTCCTAACTTATTTTATCTATCACAAACTCAATGCTCAGTGTGTCATTACGGTGACGCCCCCACCACCCACAATCAATCCTTTCGATCAGCGTTGCCCTCAAATACGACTAAATCTAGGGTTCTTAGATGCATTTGCAGCTTTTTTTTCCACTTCTACACTGAAAACATTGAAGGACATCGATGCTTTAAAAACAATTGACTTATTGATAAAGTAATTATCGATTGGCGTTCATCAGTCTAGCCAACATTTTCGGCAGTCATTAGCACTATTTCCATTGAATGTCCTGAAGCATTTTGGCCAGGAGCGCCACCAAACTCAACAGTTTTATCGTTGGCAAAACTGTTTAATGTAAAGTTTGGTCACCATTTAGGCATGCTTAATTCCTGCACAGATAAATGCTTGATAGTGAATAGAATTTACGATTAGGATTATTTTTTGCGGATGAAAAGAGGATGAGGAACGCACTTCTTTCCTTCGGCAATCCCATCCTGCACTTGTTTACTATTAATCAATTTCGAGACATTCACCAGATTGTTGTATCCCACGGCAGAGAGAAGGCCACTTCTGGACGACTGCTTTGTGCTGCCACGGCAGGTCTGGGTAAGAGCGTAGAGCACGTGCCTGGGAGGTGGGGCGTAGAGGAACTCATTGGCTTCTTCAACCGACCTACCGACAAGTGACGGCCATCGCCGAGCCAACAATCCGTCCACCACGAAGTCAGTCTTGTTCACACCTGTCTCCCGAGTGACGTAGATGCAGCCCTCACCTTTAACAGGAGGGACTTCAAAATTTACAAAAGTGCAACTCCTCGTTAATGTAGTTGACACACGTTTGACCGGTCAAAGCTAAATGGTTAATTGAGTAGGTCAAGTTAAGTCGACAAAGTCTATTGTGAAGGACTGATTAAGTGCGTCTCACAGATTGAAAGACAAACACCTCGACCCCTTAGATAGGTTGTAAATTGTCATGAATTAAAACGTATAAAGGGCAATATATTCCTCTCATTTTGTCATTTTATCAATGAGATTTCGTTGGAACCACGATAATAAATACGGTTAGGATAAAGTATCTTGGACAAACCTGACACCGACGTCAACGCGAATAGCAGAACTGCAATAATGGCGGCAAAGATGAGCAGGATTGGAATGAAAATCACCGAACAGCAGCACACCGACCCCTTTCCGCAGACGATCTTGTCCCACTTATTGCCAGGTGCATCTGTAACCAGTAAGGGCAATGCTTTACAAACTGCCAAGATGAAACCGTGTAAGATTGTCATGGTTGAGTCGTAATTAGATTAGTGCGTTTATGGTCCCAATAAATGTGTCGAAGTTTATTTTCCTAGCAGTCATGTTTAGTGTTTAGTTCTGAATATTGATCTCCATTAAGTAATGGTCGCTCATGGAAGATGGGTTGAATCATCGGCGAAAAATTTCACCTCACGTTGTCTAGTTTGACGCCACAGATGACTGGCGACTGTTTTACAACTATTAGCATAATGGACCGCCCTAAATATAGCTGTAAAATGGGCTGGATTTCACTTTTATTCTGATTTGGGTAACGATAGACAACGTCGCAGAATAACACAGTTTTACGTCAGCCCCACTGCTGATGTCACAGTGGGTATTTGAGCTTCAAGCTGTGTTCCGTTGTAGGCATATTTGATAATCACTAAAAGTAAAGCAAGCTTTGCCCGTATACCAACACCAAATGACTCACATGTGAGCACGGTGTCAGCGCCAGCGTAGAGTCGATCTCGAAAAGCTCGGTAAAGAAGACGCGCAGCAATGAGGGCTGCGATGACCAACATCAATATGAAGAACCCGCCGATTACGTAGAAGCCGATGCGAATGTATCCCGAGTATTGTGAAAGTCCGTTGTCAACAGAGGTGGAGAGGTCTTGCAGATTCTTGGTCACACCACCGACCTGTGCACTGGTGTCATCCCAAAACTTGTTGATCGAATCGAGCACCGTTTTGAGGTCGAGTTTTTCCTCGATCGAAACAGCTATTTGGCTTGTTGATGATTTTATTTCCTCGATTGCTTGATTAATATCGATCAGTTTTGTCTCCAATTCTCTTGCGGCTTGTTCCAGATCACTGGTTACTCCATTTGTCATTGATGTGTCGATTGCACTGAGATCAATTGGACAGTGTAAATTTTCTGCCGCTGTCTACAACAAAATAAGTCAAGCCTAATCCATTCAGATTCTGTTTTTGCCAAATCCACATTATTGGCCTCCTAGCTAACATTTCCTCATCCGCGGATTCAGAACAAGACCAACAAGGGACAATTCTCAAGCCACACGTCCACGATGACCAAAAAACACCATCAAAAAAGCTATTCTGAAGTCCAGCGAACAGTTGAATCTCCATTATATGTGGCCTTTCTGCCTTTAAATTACACGTCTGGCGACTCACTTTCAATTTTTGGCAGTCCTGATCGGTGTTGCAATTTGGAACAGTCGCAAATGCAGTCTTAAATTCATCACGGGCTTTCTTCGTCTTTCCGCAAAGTGCGGAAATGCTAGTCTTCAAGGTGTCTGTTGATCTACTTGCACCAGCCACGTAGACGGCGAACTTTATTAATTCCTGCACAGTTTCGTTGCCTCTTGTCAAAGCATGCGCAACACTCAAGTATATCAGCATATTATCAATCGTTCCAGAGAGTCCGGACGCAATTCGCGCCTAAAATGCGTGCGACTCATTAACTTCATATTCTTAGTGACATGTCGCACCATTCGGTCAACAGCGGCATGCAATTGAAATGCGCGTGTCAAATATGGAATGGCAAAACCAAGGGTTCCGAAAAATCTAAGGTGGACTGACGAGCCTGAAACAAGTAACCTTAAACAAATGAACACGTTGTGATTTAGCTAATTGAAATTAGTTGTCGTAAGATTCGTTCTAACACAAGTTCACTTAGGGCTCGAAGCTTCGATAAAAAATCCAATCTAGGTATTACCTTACATTTGTCTGCCGCATGAAATCGGTGAGAGAAGTATTGGTCAGCGTGCGGCCAGACTCAATGCTTGTGTTCAAGAACTGCGTCACGTGTGTTGTGAGTGCTTGCAGTCCGTTTTGGATGGAACTCGTCTCCTCTGCGCTCCT